ACCCCCACCCCTCACCTTCTCGTGTTCTGCAAAGACTTTTTGCCTTTCATGTGAAGCCGTTCATTTCCTGTGTTCTTTTATTTTTCCTTGAGAATGATGATGTCATGAGATGTTGATCGTGGTGAGGCTTGACTAAATGCTGGGCGGGTTCTCCAGCTTCGTCTGTGCCAGGAGGTGGCGACAGACGCGTCATCGTTTTTGGAAGGGTGCCTAACAGTGCGTCCTGTGTGGGGACCACAGTTGGCTTAGTCCTCTCTCCATAGACGGGGCTCCTGATCATTTCCATTGTTTTTCGGTTCTAGAAAATGCTGCGAGACGCATGAGGTGTGCACACATCTATTCCTGTCTTTAGGGTTTCTACCAGTGAGAGGGTGCAGCACCAGAGGCTATTTGTATTGGCATTTGGTTAAGAAAGTGCCGTACTGTTCTCCATTGTGGCTGAAAAAAACAAATTTTTTTTTCAGGTCATATGGATTTTGTTACAATTATGTGGGACAGATAAGTCCCGAGTGGAGTCAGGTGGTAGAATCAATGTGGTAAGGCTTGTTTCTTCTCCCAATTCACGTAGTTATCCATGCTCCACCAGCGGGGAAGGATGTCCTCACAACCAGGATGGGAGCTCCCCAAGGAAACTAAGAGGCTGACAATCTGGGTGGGCAATACATACCCCGTGGGTCCCAGGAAGATTAAATGAAAGTTAAGAAGACAGGGCATCCAGAAGGTGAATCACAGGTGCCTTGCCCGCCATGCAGTTGCTCTGCTGAAGGAACAATGCTCAGTCAGGTTCAGGGTGTACATCAGACAGGAGGCTACCTCAGCAAGGCTCTCACGTCAGCCCCACCACGGAGACCTTGTAAGCTCGCCTTTCCCTTCGAGTGGAAACAGCCTTCTGTCAAAAAAGTTAAAAAGTCAATCCAGATGGAAAAAGAAAAAAATTCTCAAGTCTTCGGGTCCACCTTGAATCTGAATCAGCTCGTGGCTCTGGCGTTTGGGTTCAGTGCGAGTTTATGTCCCTCTGTTCCTTACGGCCATAAACCAGGACAGCTCAGAAGATGGCTGAGGTCCAGGGTGCAGGTGCCCAGACTCCTATCCTCAAGGGTCTAGAGCAGTGTTTTCCAAAGTGAAGGTGGGGGGTAGGGGCCCGCTGGAATGATGGGGGGCGGGCGTTCAAAAGCAGGTGCCTACACTTGATCCTGGATTGTCTGTGGGCTATGACCCAAACATGTTTAATTGCTAGGGGGTGCTGAGTCATTTTTTTTTTTCTGGAAAGGGGAATAGTAGGCTAACTAAATCCGTTTGGGAGCCTAAGTCAGAAAGCCCGAGCGCTGGTGATGAACATGGAAAGTACTATGGACTGCCAAAAGAACAACAAACGTCTGTCTTGGAAGAAGTACGCCCAGAAGGCTCCCTAGAAGCCAGGCTGGTGATACTTGGTCTGACGTATTTTGGACACGTTGCCAGGAGAGACCAGTCCCTGG